TTTGGGGGTCGAACGACCCTTTCACAGGGGTCACCTAAGACCATCGGAAAACACATATATAATTACATATTGTTTTTGTGATTGATCACTATGCTTTAATTATGTTCAACTTGTAACAATGAAATTGGGGGTCACCACAACATGAGGAGCTGTATTAAAGGGTCGCGGCAGGAGGAAGGTTGAGAACCACTGCTCTAAGGAGTGCCCTTCGTTGAACATCGTTGAGAACACAAGGTCCTCTTAGGGACAGGCAGGCCAGGGGAAGGGGCCCCCAGGACCTTCAGGAACCTTTTTCCAAGCAAATGAGAGGAGAGTTTGGCAACTCCTCTCCATTCTCTCCCCAGAAGACTTCCCGGCACACCAGCGGGGGAGGCGGAGGCGCGGCGGCAGCAGGTGGAGGCAGCGGCACAGGGGGCGGCGGCAGTGGCTTCATCGCTGGCCGGAGAAGCCGGTCAGCCTCCCCATCCACCCAGCAGGAGAAGCACCCTTCCCACCACGAAAGGGCACAGAAGAAGGTAAAAGTCTCCCTTTACCTGTCCTGCCACTTTCACAAACTCAGGCCTCTTTCAAGAAGCCCCCACAAGGTGCCCCACGGCCAAGGATCCTGCCCGCTTCCCTCCTCTGAGGCCACTGAGGGCAGGGAGGGGGCTGCGGAAGTGACCCGTGTGGATCACAGAGGGCGAGGTGAGGGCCAGCTTCCCTGGGGCCCTCGTCTTTGTGTGGTTCTTCCAGTGGCCTCCCCAGGACACGACAGTGTCCCGACAGCCCCCAGTCCATGGCCCTGCACACATCTCCACAGTCTAGCCTGGTGTCAGCCCAGTTTGTAAGTGTACATGCCTGCGTCCCCTTGTACCTCCTGTCACAGTGCGCCTGGCTCCCATCCCTCAGCACAGCTCCGTGTCCCTGGTGGACACCCTTGCAGGTGCGTGCTCACGTGTGTGGTGCTCTGTCACGCATGATCATGGGACAGGCTGTTTTTAGCAGGCAGAATGGACAAGGGGCTGTTGGCTCTCAGAGGAACCTGCCTGAGCCACTCCTGTCCAGCCAAAGTCCCCCAGTCCCACCAGAGGGGGAGGTGACACCCACAAAGCTCATCCCAGGGAGGGGTCCACTGTCAACATGCACATGTTGGGGCATCTTCACCCCAAATGCCCCCCAGCACCAATATCTGCTCACCTGTCCTTCCCCAGAGTCGAAAGGACAAGGAACGCCTTAAACAGAAGCACAAGAAGCGGCCTGACTCACCCTCCAGCATCCTCACCCCACCCGTGGTCCCCACTGCTGACAAGGTACTGCTGCCCACAGCCCGGAGGGATGGCCACAGCAGCGGGAGGGAGGCAGGGTGTGAGGGGTCAGGGTGAGCCAGGGACCTGGGCACCCCCACAGCTTCAGGTTAATGTGCCTCTGCTCCACACCTCAACCCTCTCTACTCCTCAGCCCCACCAATCATTTACCATCAGGAGGGGAGGATTGGGTGGGGAGCACCACCCCTACCTGCTGGCTGCCAGATGTTCACATCTGCCTCTGTCCAGACACTGAGCCTCAGCACTGGGCTCTTGTCTGTGGATACACACTCGGTTTTCCAATTCTCCAAGCTCTGGAGCCTGTTCTCCAGAGACAGGTAGAGAGGACCCCATCTCTCTCAGCCCCCTCTCCCTGCACCTCTTCTCCCTGTCGGGAAGATGCCCACAGCCTGTGACCTGACCAAAATCCTACTCTGTGCATGCTGGAGGGACTGAAAGTGTAGCCCCTGGCAGGTCCCTGACAACACCCCGAAACCCCACCCACCTCATCTCACCTTCCAAGGCGGGTCAGGGTATGTCAGGCCTGTCTCCAGCAACGGGCAACATCAGGATAAGCAAATAGCAGGCCCTTCCCCGAGGCCAGGGCGTCCCTAATCCAAGCCAGAGCAGCCCTCTCTGCCCCTCCTGCCAGCCCGCCCTCCCCAGGGAAGGTGAAAGGGGCCTGGAGAAACTGCTTCCTCCTGTGGCCAGTGCTCCATCCACTCCCGCTGCCGAGGGAGGTTGGCAGAGCTCTGGGCATCTTATTAGCAGGAGGCTCAGGTATCAGGTTTCTAGGGGGATGTTGCTGTGCATTGAACCCCAGTAACCCTCTCCCTGCCCTGCGTTCCAGGACTCACCTAGAACAGCTTGTCGTCTCTGCCCTGTGCCCTTTTCCCTGGGGCCTGCAGACAGGTAGAAAGAGAGGGCAGAGACCTGGGAGTAGCCCCCAGTGGCTGGGTAGTCCCTTGGACATGTTGGAGCACTCTGCTCATCCCCTCCACCCGCCCCAGCATTGCCGCTGCCCCTCCCCCACCCCCTCGCCTCCCTTGCTCTCAGAACCACATCTGGCTCCCTTCAGAACTCCAGCTGTTGAAAAGAACAAAGAAGAAGAGACAAGGGCTTCCCCCCAGGGAGGGCAGCACAGGGTGGCTCTCATTCCCCCATCCATCCTCCCTCTGGCATTGGTGGGTTTAGCAGAGGTTCACGAATATCTGGTCTCCACCGGGAGGAGAGGCGCCATCCCTGGGGTTGGCGGTAACACGATGCTCTAACTCAGCCCCCACATGCCAGCCTCTCCTAGAACGGGGATCTGCGGGGTGTACAGGGATTCGCTGGTTTAATCCTCAAAATAGTCCAACTTTATTAATCCCATTTTATAAATGGAGAAACTGAGGTACAGAGAGGTTAAGTAATTTGCCTCAAAGTGCACAGCTAGGTAGTGATGGAGTCGAGATTTGAACGCATGCAGTCTGACTTGAAGGCCTGTACTCTTACCCACCACCGTCAGTCTCTGCAGTATCTTCCTAGCAGCACAGCCATCAGAATCATCATTATTGACCCCGCAGTATGTACTAGTACCTGGCATTATGTTCCTCATAACTCTCCAAACAGGGGTAATTAGCCCCATAAGGACACTGAAGCTCAGAGAGGTGGAGAGACCATGCAACATAAACACGGCAGTAAACGCGGAGCCCATCCTCCTCCAACCCCTGTCCTGCCACCCTCAGAGAGGTTTAGGGGGGGTGGGGGGGGAAGAAATGGGGACAGTGTATTTCACTATAGGGTGGCAACTGTTGGCGTGGCTGCCGTGGGTACACAGTGCCCTGGAAATAGGAGGACAGCGTTGTTCCACCCCAGGAGTCCAGGGTGGCTTCACGGAAGAGTGGACTTCCAAGCTGGATTTTGAGGAGGAGAAGTTTTCCAGGAGGAGTAATAGGCTCTCCTGGCAGAGGGGTCTGCACTGCAAGCTCAGGTTGTCTAGGAAAGGCACAGAGTGGCCAGGGAGTAGGGTGTCAGCCAGGTGGCGGCAGCTTGGGGAGACCAAGGAGGGAATGGTGGTGACTGGAGGGCCCACAGATGCAGCCGGGCCCTCACTGCTTCCCAACACAAGTCCAGCAAGTATTTCTTGAATGAATGAATGAATGAATGAATGAACGAATGAACGAACGAACGAACAAATGAGTCTATTAGTACAGACTTTGAGACTGTTTTCGTCTCCCACCTGAGGTGAAGGACAGACAGCTTCTTGGGTTCAGAACGCTCAGCTCGCCTCACACCCAGAAGTTCCACTGCTGCTTCCCCATCTTCCTGGTCTAGGGCCTCCCGGCACCATCTCTCTACCCGGAATCCTTCTTGAAGCTAATTCTGGACTCTCCCAGGAAAGCCCAGGTCCTGCGTGCTCCTGCTCCACTCCCAAGTCAGGGTGAACCCAGGCCCAGGCAGTTGGTCTCAAGCCTTCCTCTCTCCTCCCCTCTTTAGGCCTCCTCCTCAGCTTCCTCCTCCTCCCACCATGAGGCCAGCACTCAGGAGACCTCTGAGAGCAACAGGGACTCAAAGGGGAAAAAGTCTTCCAGCCATAGCCTGAGTCACAAGGGGAAGAAGCTGAGCAGTGGGAAAGGTGTGAGCAGTTTCACCTCCGCCTCCTCCTCCTCTTCCTCCTCCTCTTCTTCCTCCTCTGGGGGGCCCTTCCAGCCTGCAGGTGAGTGTGGGCAGGTGAGCCTCCTGGAGGAGGCTGGGCATGGGACAGCCTTTGGCCCTGAGCTTCTCTAGCAAGGGCCTTTGCATATTAGTTTGCATCTCATTTTTTTGTGTGTTTTTTAATCCTCACCCGAGGACATTTTTCCCATTGATTTTTAGAGAGAGTGGAAGAGAGGGGGAGAGACAGAGAGAGAGAAACATCAATGTGAGAGAGACACATGGATGGGTTGCCTCCCGTACGGACCCCCCACCACCGGCGCTGGGGATCAAGCCTGCAACTGAGGCACATGCCTGGAATCGAACCCGGACCCTTTAGTCCATACTCCGACACTCTATCCACTGACCCAAACCGGCTAGGGCTCTCATTTGCTTCTTAAATTGGTTCAGGTTAAAGATGGGGGATCTCCACCAAATTATACTTCTCCAAACCCTTCCCTCAACCCTTCCCTTTTGAGCTGGAACTCTCCTCTCCTCCCACTTTATGGTAAGTGGGGGAGGGAGGGCACTCATCCTGGACACAGAGATAGTGGCAGAGCTGGGACAGGACACCAGGCTTCCCCGTCCCCTGACCAGAGCTCTCCCACTAGTGCCTCTTGGGAGTGGGAGGGAGTGAGGGATCTGGGATGCAGCTGTAATTCTGTTTTCCTTCTGTGCAGTTTCGTCCCTGCAGAGCTCCCCTGACTTCTCCGCCTTCCCCAAGCTGGAGCAGCCAGAGGAGGACAAGTACTCCAAGCCCGCAGCCTCCACCCCTTCAGCTCCCCCCTCTCCCTCAGCTCCTGAGCCCCCCAAGACTGACCTCTTTGAGCAGAAGGTGGTCTTCTCTAGCTTTGGGCCCATCATGCGCTTCTCCACCACCACCCCCAGCTCAGGCCGGGCCCGGGCCCCATCCCCTGGAGACTATAAGTCTCCTCACCTCTCGGGGTCTGGGACCTCAGCAGGCACCCACAAGCGGATGCCCACACTGAGTGCCGCCCCTGCGCCCGCTGAAGAGACCCCTGAGACAGGTGTGAAGGAGAAAAAGCACAAAGCCAGCAAGAGGAGCCGACACGGGCCAGGCCGTCCCAAGGGCAGCCGGAGCGAGGAGGGTGTCGCGGCCCCAGCTGCTCCCTCCCTGCCTGGGGCCCAACTGGCTGGCTTTACCGCCACTGCTGCCTCACCCTTCTCAGGAGGTTCCCTGGTCAGCTCCGGCCTGGGGGGTCTGGCCTCCCGCACCTTTGGGCCTTCCGGAAGCCTGCCCAGCCTGAGCCTGGAGTCCCCCCTGCTGGGGGCAGGTCAGTGACCCTGTGGGATGGTGGGCATTGAGGGTCCAGCCGGTCTAGCGATGGAACAGGGAGAAGCACGCAGTTAGGAGGGAATGTGATAGAACTGCTCCGAAGGACGGAGACACAGGATGGAAGGTTTAGTCACCTCTGAGACACTCCTCCATTCCCGCCTTCTGCATGGCTGTGGCAGGAGATGGTGTTGGCTTGTCAGTAGGACATAAAAAGTTTGGCTGGGATATTAGAATAGCTGGGAATTCCCCAGGCCCGGGCAGGGCAGTCCAATAGGTAGTCATGTCGAGCAGATACCACCCAGGCGACAAGGGACGTCTGTGCACGGAGGTTAGACTGGTGCCAGGTCCAGGGAATGTTCTCCTTGGGGAGGGCTTGGTGACTCTCTGCTTCCCTCTGTGTCCTTGTGCCCACAGGCATCTACACCAGTAATAAGGACCCCATCTCCCACGGTGGTGGAATGCTGCGGGCTGTCTGCAGCACCCCCCTCTCTTCCAGCCTGCTGGGGCCCCCTGGGACCTCTGCCTTGCCCCGCCTCAGCCGCTCCCCATTCACCAGCACCCTACCCTCCTCTTCTGCTTCTATCTCCACCACTCAGGTGAGGACTTACCCCTGGGCTCCTCCATCGCTGGGTAGGGGGGTGGGTGCAGGGCAGGGGGGGGGCAGGTTGCTCAAGACCCCAGCCCTCCATGGGAACTTGAGATATTGGGCTTGATCCCCAGAACGTCTCCCTGTCTCTGGCCCTCTCTCCTCCCAGCACACCCTGTCCCCTCCACCCCGTAAGCACAGTCCTGCCCTAGATCTGAGACTAACCACCAGGCTGGACTGTACCTCCTTTCCCTCAGGTGTTTTCTCTGGCTGGCTCTACCTTTAGCCTCCCTTCTACCCACATCTTTGGAACCCCCATGGGTGTCGTTAACCCCCTCCTTACCCAAGCCGAGAGCAGCCACACAGGTATGTGAGTCTCCGACCCCATCCCCCTTCTTCCCAAAGGCCTGAGGGGCACCCATCACCTGCATGCCCCCCCCCAAAAAAGATGGGAGGGCTTCCTGGCTGCCCCCTCCCTCTGGCCATTGCCCACTTTGCTAAAAATATTTTCACACACAACAAACCAGGGTACACTTTCAGGTTAAAACCTGCCGAGGGGTTGGGACAGGACAGGAAAGAATTACTGCTCCATCTCACGGGAGAAGGGCAGAGAGATTAACGCTTAAGGCAGTGGAAGTCAGGAAATTCTGGGCCCCTGACTCTGACCCCAGTTTTCATAGCGCCGAAGCGTAGCTCCCAGCTGGCCTCAGGGAGCCTTTGGGATCAGCCGTTACTGCGATCCCACTAGCTGGGCAACCTGCCCTCCGGGTGTGTGGGAGTTAAAGGGGCGGGTCACAGGCGCCCCACCCTCTCCCTTGAGAGTCAACCCAGCCCCGGAGAGCTGATTGGTGCAGACACACCACCTGGCCAACCAGGGGGCGGGGCCTACCACCCCGCCACCAGTTCAGGTAGGCCTTCTTAAAGAGACCGGACCCAGAATTAAAGACGTGACACGGTGGGGTGGCACACCCCTCCCCGCAACCAATAGGAATTCTGTGTCCCAACCAAGGGTTTTGCCACCTAATTTGTGAGTTTATGAATATAAAAAGTCCTACAAAACCTAACAGCTACCATTACTAAGGGCTTCCTGCATGCAGCTTAACACTTCACATTTATTTGCCTTGTTTGTAAACCTCATGACAATCACTTCGGAGGTTAGTTGCAAGCCCAAGTTCACAAAGCAGGTATCAGGTCCACGTTCGACCCAGGGCTGTCTACACCCAAAATCTCTACAGCATTAAGCTTCCAGGGAAGGGGTGTGAAAGCAGCCGGGCAGAGGGAGTCTTTCTGCCAGGAGAAGGGAAGAGACAGACCCATGGCTTTACCTCCCACGGGCCGCTTCCAGGCCAGGGCTCCCAGCGCCTTCGGAGCTGGAACTGGGGTGGAGCGATTCCGGGGAGGGGTCTGCCATCAGGTGCCAGATCCCATGCCCACTTCCCCGCGAGGACCGAGCGGCCGGCTGCACCCTTTCCCCGCTGACCCCGCCTCCCTTCTCCTTCCCAGAGCCAGACCTGGAGGACTGCAGCTTCCGGTGTCGGGGGACCTCCCCTCAGGAGAGCCTGTCTTCCATGTGAGGGAGGGGGCGGGGCTGGAGGGGCACCCCGGGAGGAGGGGCGGGGGAGCGGGCAGCAGAAGAGGGGGGTTCAGACGCGGATGACGGGAACCCCTGGGGAGGGCAGGGCAGGGGAGGGGAGGCCGGAGCAGGAGGTAAGCCTGAGCCCGGTGTCCCCTTCTGACCCAGGTCCCCCATCAGCAGCCTCCCCGCACTCTTCGACCAGACGGCGTCCGCACCCTGTGGGGGCGGCCAGTTAGACCCAGCGGCCCCCGGGACAACGAACATGGAGCAGCTGCTGGAAAAGCAGGGCGATGGCGAGGCCGGCGTCAACAGTGAGGAGGGGGCTCAGGGCTGGGACACCTGCCCCAAGATCCCCAGATCCGGTCACCCCTCTCCCCGAAGTTCCCAAACTTCTTTCAGGTTCTGCCTCAGACCTTGCCCCAGCCCTAACTCATTACAACCTCAGCCTCACCTTCAGCCCCTTCTCGGCCCTGCACCCGGCGCC